AAAATTTTGAGTTTTACCATTTGGAAGAAAAGCAACATTTAAATGCTTAAACAAATATGTTTAAAACACTGTCATTGTAATTTAATATTACACCTTTATCTGATCGATTTCCTACGTTATTTATGCAGGATGAAAACTGCAAGTCACTTCTAAAGAGAACCCATGGAAATTGTAAATTCCCTTTTTTAAATGATATTTCATTAATATATCATTAACTCTTAATAAGACAAAGCGAAGGCTTTGTTGTAACAAACATAAGATGAATCACTTATTTATTATTGTTAATCATCCTTGAGTTTAGTCAGAATAGATAAAGTTTGACCTTATCTCCCACTATATATAAGGTACTGATTATCTTTGTAATTCACTTCTACAACATGTTTCTTCAAATATCTGTTCTTCTTTCAGTTCTTGTAATCCTGAATACAAGCCAAGCAGTACCAACTCAAGGTGAACCCAAGTTTATATTCACTGAAGTGTCTGGAGGAGGTCAATATAAGGTAGGATCTCCAGCACTTCTTAGAGCTATTGTTACTGACGAAGACAAACCCGAGGAGAATGATGACTGGAAATTCTGTCGTTGGACACGACTGAGGGATAACGCCTATTGCCAGTTCACCTATGACTGTTCTGGAATCTTCTGTGATATTGGAAGTGGAGATTTTTCTATCCGAACCGAATGCACTGTTCAATTGGCAAATAGAATCAATTTTACAGGAGAAGATCCCAATTACCACAACAGGATTTGCGGGATGGCAATTCCAAAAGTAACTAGAGATGATAGCTCTGTCTGGAAAGTAGAGATTGAGGAATGCAAGATCACTGGATGTGGATCGTCAAATGGAAATGATTATGTTATTACATCAAGCGTAAATGTAACTGTTGTTGGATAATCTAATAAAGATTAATAAGTATGATACATTATGATTGTTTTTATTGGACATTTTGTAAGAAAGGTTAATCAAAGTTTATAAAAAAAATGTAAATAAAAGTTTAAATACAAATTTTGAATAACATTTTTTTATGATATTTTGCTTATCTTTTGTCTTTGTTAAATCTTTTTCTTTGTTGAATTGTATATGGCTTCTACAGAAACTAGTTTTTTTCAAGTTACTTTCAAAGCTTTTAAGTCTTGTTTTTAAAGTTGCCATTTTTCATCATACTCTCAATTAAAAAATATATAAAAAAATAAATTTTGATGTTTTTTTCCAGGCAAAATTTTCCATTTCAAATATCCATAAACGGTTTTCACCATTAGGTTAGTAAGAAATAGGAATTGGAAAATTTGAGTCTGTGGCAAAGATTCAGTTCCTTTGGGCTGTATCATTGATATGTTTATTGGTTACAAACAGAGAAACAGACAAAGAGACGGACAAACAAAGTGTATATATCACAGGGCTCCAATTGTTGCATAATCTGAACCAGTACAAGGATTTTTTTGTCTAATGTTAGTGTACTTTACAAAAAGGATACAGTTTCTCTATCTATTAGTGAAAATTGAAAAATTAAATCCTGCTTCTCCTACTTCTAAAAAGTATTCTAAAATTTAAGTCCAAATTTTTCTGTTAGGGTCACAACAAAAAATGCATTAAAAGGAATAAATTCTTTTCCTTATCAAAATAACCTCTGACTTTATTTAAGGCTGAAATTATTCAAACAAATATATTTTTACTTTACAAAAAGATAAACAAGTTTGGAAAGTTACTAAATTAATAATTTCTCCAATCATCGTTTACATTTACGTGTTATTTGATTCTGGATTTAAATAAAAAAATAATCATAAAACATATCATTAAACAAAAACAGGATATTGCAGTATTGCAGTATTGCAAGGCTTATTTAATTAAATAAGAATCTAAGCATTGATAAAAAATGTGAAACATTCTGTATATCCATCTAGGATTGTAAAATATAAGTTTCTTTAAGTTTGAAACTGAGACTTAAACATGTTTAATTTATAGTAAATACTTCATAGTACAAAAAAGATACTTAAATCTTACCAATTCTCAGAACTTATTATTCTATCATCTTAATTTTAATTTTAATGAAGGAATAAAAAGAGCAGACAACAAATGTGCCTGGTTCACATTTTGGATTTTGTTTCAAATTCAATATTGTCTTGTTTGTAATTTAATATCTTTTACTGGTATTTTATACTGGTGCACTGCTATAAAAGTCATGTAATGCTTATAGAGATATTTGAACTGGTTTTTAGGGACTCATAACCAGAGTTAACTTTGCCGGAGCCTTAGTCTGAGGTTAAAATCATTAGCTTCAACAAACAAGTTCACTGTAATCTCTCAATTTTAAAAGTAATTTATGACTAATACTAAGATTACACAAAAGAAAAAAAAAGTCACAAGAAATCGTAATGCTAGCCAGAGCTAATTGCTCTAGAAGCCATTGACCTTTAGGTCTAAATATTCAAATAAATCTCTAGCTAGTTTAATCAAAGTATTCAAAATACAATTCTAAAATTATGCTTGCATCATGGAACAGAACGGATGTACACGTTAACACAGAACACAGAAGTTTTTATCTTATGAAAAGTGTGTTTCAGATTTTTGGATGGACATTTTTTTCAGGATTTTTCCAGTTTGTGACAAGAGCAATAATAAACTTGACATGATGGGCAATACCTTGGCAGCAATGTTCCAACATTTCAAAACTTTATTTTGTAAAAGTTTACTCTTATTAAGCTTGGCAAACTTTTATCCTATGCGAAAAAATTTGGAAAAAACAATGATTTAAAAACTAAATTTTTGTGGACCCTTTAGAAAGCCTAATAAACTTAAATGTTTAAAAGAACCCATTGGCCATCACTACTTAATCCTACTGACAAGCAATACTATTTCTTCACTCTTAGGTTCAAATAAAATCAAATCCCCAATGACTAATAGTTGTGTCTATTATATTCTAGAATGATCACTGATAAACCTGCTTATCTTCTTGTATATAAGATTCCAGCCTAAACTAACATACCTACAGTTCAATCATGTTTGTCTTTTCATTAATATCCATATCAGTTTTGGGAATTTTTCACACTGCGGTGGGATTTCCGAAAATCCCCGAATCCAGATTCATTTTCTCGAGTGTATCCGGAGGAGGTTGCTATCCTGCTGGTTCATCAGCACTTCTGGAGGCAGTTGTATCCGATGCTGACAACGAGGAGGGAAATGATGATTGGAAGTTCTGTACCTGGACTCGGCTCAAGGATAATGCCTACTGCAAGTTTACCTATGATTGTGAAGGATTATTTTGTGATATTGGGGTTGGAGACTTCTCTATAAGAACCGAATGTTCAGTTCAGCTGATGAATAGAATATCTTATAACGGAGAAGATCCAAATCAACATAACAGGGTCTGTGGTCTTCTTATTAAACAAGTTGCAGCAGAAGATACATCTTTGTGGACTATAGAGGCTGAGGAGTGTAAGATTAGTGGGTGTGGGTCAGCTGGAGGAAATGGATTTATCATAAGTTCAAGTGTAAATGTAACTGTTGTGTAATAAATATTCTTATATCTAGTTCTACTTATTATAGTAAAGTTTATGTAGTATACCAGAAACTCTTAGCACTTTGTTTACAAATTTTGTGTACTGCAGAAATAAACAAAGCTCAGCTTGAGCAGCACAGCTTTTCTACATTCTTCCATGAAAACACTGTACATTTTAATTGTAAACAAACCGATAGGAGTTTAATTTTAGCTAACAAGCTTGTTAGTATAAGCAAATCTGCATCTAATTAATATTTACGCAATCAATTTATCTTAAACAAGCAACGTTAACTTTTCATTGGATTCTAGGTTCTAGATAATTTTCCTTTTCTTCATTTAATATAGTTTTTTTTTGTTGACTCCCCAGCTGATCTTTTCTATATCAATTTTATGTTTTGTTTTAACTTACACTTTTAAGTTACTTTCACATTTTAATGTGTCCAAGAAAGCTGACCTCATTTTGTAAATACCAGACTTTAGGAAAAGTCATTATCTTGCTTTGAATACAAATATAATATAAATCGACCCATGGATATATAATTGATGGATATATCATAGTTAAGGTTTTTTCACTGGGGTGTTATGCTGTACGTTAGACATTGGACCCTGGAACTAACAATTTGTCTTTGGTTTTCGTAAACTTAAAAGATGTCAAAGGAGTATAGAAAAACATTGGAAGTCTTTAAAACTTGATAAGATTTAGCCTCCTTCTTTGTATTATACAAATTGTTGGAGATACTAAAGATTTAAACAACCTTTTTTATATTTAATATTTTGAATTTTAAACAAATTTCTTAATATCTTGGGCAATTCTTAAGGTACAAAAACGGCAGACCACATTTTGGAGAAAATGCTATGTTAACAAGATTTTAGCTACAGTATCTCATTTCTGCTTACTCCAGGGCCCACTATCTACCAAAGTTCTTCTCTAATTTGGACCCTGAACTTCACTTCAAACTTTTTTAAAACTGCAAAATATTTTTATAGAATGAACAATAGCCAGAGTAAAAATTTGTTATAATAAAACCTAAAATTTGCTATGCAGAGGTTTTAGAAATTTCCTAAAAATATCTAGGGTCCACTCAGATATAACAGCTGCGTAGCCCACCGACAAAGTTACATGTACACTAGCCCAGAATAGTATAAATCGGTAGATAGAAGCATACATATAAGCGGGCCGTGAATTGACCTTTCCAAACAAAAACAAAGAGAATGATTTATAAGACGACATTGAAAAACATTTGCCATTCAAGATTGAACCTTTCCAATTTTGTTTTAAAGAACGACGACATTTCAGCAAACCTATTGCTTTCACCAACAAGACTTTCTCTAGTAAAATAGAAAGCTCGTAGTAAATAAGAAAGTCTCAGAGCTTCTAATTTTCTGCGGCCTATAAATTCCATTCAAAAATATAAACTTTATGATTAATTCAAAACCAAATTTAGCCACACAAAAAGTTAGTAAAAACTGCAGTTTTTTCATAAATTTCTAATTTTCTGTTATGTTTAGTAACTAAGTTTATCTTTCACTGTTTTTGTTAGTTCACTCTTGAATTCATTCATTTCACCTTTTAGACACACTCTTAAATGGTAGAATTGGGAAACTGGACACTCAACTAACCAAACATCTGAATAATTTATTACACATTTTCTACTTCTCCCCCCCCCCCACCTTCTACATACCATACAATATACTTTACCATAAAATATTTTATAATTTTTTTACATCCTCCATACAGCAAAGACAATTTTCCTTTATAATAACAAACTTCATGTTCGTTGGTCAAACTTTAAACAATGAAAATTATACAATATACAAGAGATTGAGTCTTTGTCACAAACTTCAGTTTTCTATTTCCTATATACGAGAAATCCAATGATATAAATCTTAGACATTTCAAACTATGAAATCTCAGTTTGGAATGTCAAAAGTTTAGAGCATCAGGTTGCAAAGATTTTGTGACAAAGACTCAGTTCCTTTAGCTAAAAAACTAACCTTTTGCTGGTATTTGCTGTTTGATAGGACTGTCTCTCAAACTGTCTGCAGTACGAACTAAATGATTCATCATGTTTTAAGAAATTGATAAAAACCCATTTTTTTAAAACAAAATATCCGGATTTTTTATTTATAAAATTTAGACGTGATAAAATAAAATCCACAGAATTTTACAATCTTTGTATTTCAGAGATAATTTACAATTTAGAAATCACATTTGAGAGCTGGAGGGGGGGGGGGGTGTAAACAAAAATGTGAAAATGTTTTTAATAAATAAACATGAAGTGCCTAGTTCATCAAGTTGAGGTTTCTTTTGTTCTAATTCTCGCAACACATTCTAAAATAAAAATATTTATTTCAGGGTTTCAGAACTAACTAGAACAGTTTACAGAACAAACTAATTGTTTTTCAAATAAATACTTCTTTTTCTGAAAATCAATAAATAAAGAAATTAAGTCTTTGTAAAAAAATAAAATATTTTAAAACCTATATCTCTGCAACCCAATGCCGTGGCGCATAATTATTTCAGCTATACATAATAATGGAACAAATATCTAAATTTGAAATATCAAAGATTTACACTATCAGGTTGCAAAGAAATAGGGATTAGAAAATTGGAGTTTTTGACAAATACTCGATTCCTTTGTTTGACTGGAAGAGAATCATTACATTTGGTTCCCAAGGAATAATAGTTTACAATACATATTGAATAACAAATCTCGCATCTCAAAATTGCAAAAAACATCCGACTTGAAACATTAAATTTTAAAAAAAGTTAAAAATATTCACATAGAAAAGAATTGAGTCTTTGCCACAAACTCAAATTTTTGAATCACTATTTCATTGCAACTAATGGTTTTAAACTTGTTTATATCAAACTTAGATTATTTGACCACACAGAATTTATAGTTTAATTCTACAACATTGGGTGGCAAAAATATAGGGATTCGTAAATCTGCAAATACTCAGTTCCTTTGGCTGAAATAAAAAACAACATTTTTTTTCTGGTTTAATCAAACGATTTGAAAATATCGAAAAACAAAAAAAAACAAGCAGCATACACGTGTTTTGGTGATTTCTTTACTCCTGACTTTTTTAATCTTTTTGATTTTAAATATATCTTTTTTCGCACAAAGTTGCTCATTGTTATGCTCAATACAAATCCAGTTGAAAGAAATAGAAATTCTAAACATTCTTTAAAACCGACCAATTCCCAGGCACTTTCGTCGTGGTTTAAAGTAACCCTTTATTTAAATAGTTTTTCATTTTGATTCTGCAAGTTACATTTGTATTTTAACCATGAATAAAAATAAACAGCTTTCAAAACTAAACATAGATATCTAATTCATTATTAACTAGACAAAGCGTGTCTCTTGTGAATCTGACATGCCTAAATCTAATTCATTATTAACTAGACAAAGCGTGTCTCTTGTGAATCTGACATGCCTATATCTAATTCATTATTAACTAAACAAAGCGTGTCTCTTGTGAATCTGACATGCCTAAATCTAATTCATTATTAACTAGACAAAGCGTGTCTCTTGTGAATCTGACATGCCTATATCTAATTCATTATTAACTAAACAAAGCGTGTCTTTTGTGAATATGACATGCCTATATCTAATTTATTATTAACTAGACAAAGCGTGTCTATAGTGAATCTGACATGCCTATATCTAATTCATTATTAACTAAACAAAGCGTGTCTCTTGTGAATCTGACATGTCCATATATATAAATCATTATTAACTAAACAAAGCGTGTCTGTTGTGAATCTGACATGCCTATATCTAATTCATTATTAACTAAACAAAGCGTGTCTCTTGTAAATCTGACATGTCCATATATATAAATCATTATTAACTAAACAAAACGTGTCTCTTGTGAATCTGCCATGCCTCTCTATCAATGAAGGATTGCTTGAACTTGCGTCTACGTAAAGTGTACACTGTTGTACGTTGTACAGCGTTGCAGACAGGTTCTATTTCTTTGACAAAAATAATTTAAATAATTTCTCAACATGAAAGTTTTCTTTTCAAAAATGTTGACGAGTTCTATAAGATCCACATCAATTAAACTTAGTGACCAGGAAATTGGAAAATAACTCTTTACTTGCCCTTATAACTGATAAATTTTGAAATTATTTTAGATAGAACGGACATTTAGAAGTATCTAAAATTAATGTTTAGCAATGTAAAATGAACAAGTTGGTCGCAAGCATTGTATTATTTTCTATTACGAGTAAAAGAAAGTATCAATCAAGAACGTTTCAATCTTCTCAAAGGTGCATCATCTAAGCATGTATTTATTATATATGATGTATGATTCTGAATTAAAAAAAAAACTAGTTTACGCTAGGATACTATATTTTTTTGTAGAGCTCCAATAAAAATTTAAATGTATTTGAAAAAAAGATTTGATCAAAATTTTCAAAAATCTTTCCTTATAGCTTACAGAGCTCTTTTAAATAATTAGTAAGCCAACTTGTGTACTTCCACTTCTTTTTTATTAATTTGTCCTCCATGAATATCTACAGAGGCTTTATTCTTTTTAAAGCATATCTAGTGATTATATTTCATTTTTTTTGTCAGTTTATTTTCTATCTTATAATACTGGGTAAATTTTATATTTCGGTTCAATACAGTTTCGGTTTCGTTTGTTTACAAACAACAAATATACAATTGTACAGCCACCGAAAATGAGTTCTTGTATATTACGGAATTTGGTGTATTCTAAGCACAAAGTTCTATAAGGACCTTATCTAACCTTGTTTCAATGTATGTATTCTGCAAGACAAATAGTAAAAAGTTTCCACCATCTGGTTGCAAAGATGTAGAGATTCAAAAATTAAAGTATGTGGTGATTTAACTTTGGTGAACCAATTCATAATGTGTGCATTACTTCTAAAAATATGTTTACAATGAACCTTCAACTGGATATGATAAGATAATAATAAGATGTGTACACTGTCACTATAGTTTTAGTAAAAGTAAATATTTCCATTCAGGGTATAGCGCCGAAATAAGGATTTATCTCTAATTGGATGATGAAATAGTTAGAAGGATAGATGTTACCGCTATGCAATATCTATTGGTTCAGAATAGACATACAAGCACATGACTGAACCCTGATTGGATCTGGCGCTAATGGACTTGGCATACAGGAGTGAGCTCTATAACACACTCATTTTTCCTTGTTCATAGATAAAGGTTTAAAGGGCACCATTGTGAATCAAACATGCCACTACAAAGGGAAATTCACTTAAAATTACGCCTGCATGCGGTTCTTTAGATTTATGATGTTTCTGAATCTCTCTGCCCAACGCTTAAAATCGATGATTGAACTATGGGTTCTATTTATAAAGAGTTAATAATTTCTGATTGGGGATACTATATACCGAGAGTTTGGAGCTTTGTACTTAATATAAATAGATTGTACAGGGTGTCCCAATAAACATGGGAATTCAGTGACGAATTCGATATCGTCTTTTTAAATAATTCTTTGATTTATTATAGTGATACCTACTGATATCTGTAAGAGTTTCGTCTGCTATGTTCACATTTTGTTTGTTTAGGTTTTGACTGCATACGGTTTTACGGTAAAACAAGAAAATTGCAGAATACAAACAGGTAAAACTTGTCACTGTTCATCTTGCTGAGACATTATAGACACATCTTTGCAGTCTTTTACCCTTTTCATAAAATAAAGTCTAGCAGACATAATAATACTATGGCTTTTGAAATTAGGTATTACAATGCTAATGCTAAGTCATAACAAAGACGATATCGAATTTGTCACTGAATTCCTATGTTCTTTGGGACACCCTGTATGTAAAGTATTCTATAAAACTAACTATATAACAACTTGCAGGAAACTTCTATAACAGGACTCTAAAATAATGGTATAAAGGGATAAATGTAGTATCTACATTATATATGATACAGGGTGTCCCACGAAACATGACAGTTGGTGAATAGTTTCAAATGTCTTCTTCCATAATTTGATAAGTTGTTTGATACCAAAGATGATGATAAGAACTACTAAATGGTAGTGATATTATAGTAAAATTTATTTTTAAACAAATAAATAGTTGGGTAAAAGATTTGTTTAACGAAATAAACTGCGACAAGTCTTAAATAACTAATACAGTATTATGGAACACGACATTTAAAACTATTCACCAACTGTCATGTTTCGTTGGACACCTTGTATATGATTTCAGGATCATATTTACAACATTGAGATTTTATCCGGTTTGACCAAAACCGCATCCTGCTTTTAAATTCTTGATGTATGGTTAGAAAAAAAAATAGTTTTTGATTATCATTTTTTCTGATTTGGCAATTATAAAATTCCATTATTGCCTTTAATAAGTCTAGAATATTTTTCTTTTAAAACACAGAAATCACTCAGATTTATAATTTTTTGAGTCTTGGTCACAAACTCTCATTTTCTAATCTCTAAATCTTTACAACCCATGCTTAGTCAATAGATAGTTCAAACAATTCTGTTAGATCAAATAATCTAAGTTTACAACATTAGACTGCAAAGATAGAGGGATTATAAAATTTTAGTTTGTGGCTAAGAATCAATTCCGTTGTGCACACTCTCTTGAACTAACAAATGCGCCCTGCAGTCTCACTCAGTTAATTTGCTAAAAAAAATGAAAACCGTGATTATTTATTATGTAACGATCAAAAACGTTTTTCTTATTGAATATTTAAAAAGATTTCCACTCTCTCGCTTTCATTGGCTTGGAAGCATGCTCTTGCCCCAGAATAAAAATACAGTAGAATGAGTTCAAGATTGCTGTAAAAATGAGATCAAGTTTGCCGTAAAAATGAGTTCAAGTTTGCAGTAAAAATGAGTTCAAGTTTGCTGTAAAGATGAGTTCAAGTTTGCTGTAAAAATGAGTTCAAGTTTGCTGTAATAATGAGTTCAAGTTTGCTGTAAAAATGAGTTCAAGTTTGCTGTAAAAATGAGTAAAAGTTTGCTGTAAAAATGAGTTAAAGTTTGCTGTAAAAATTAATTCAAGTTTGCTGTAAAGAAGTCTCTGATTGCCCAATATTTATGCTTTAAAGGGCATCCACCCCTTATTTTCGTTTTTTTAAAGTTTATCGCCGGTGCGCATGGCAAACACATAATTTCACACCACAACCCCACCCCCCTCCTCCCCGCGTCCCCCTTTAAAAATTTCCTAGTTTTACCTGCTTACACATAAAGGATATTTCCTAAATTGAATTTATATTTTATAATTAAAGTTCTCGGAACTACTTACTGAGCAGTAAAGTAGGGGTTTAATGTTCAGATTAATTGCTTAATGATCAGTAAAATGAGTAGGAGAGAGAGGCAGCTAGCTATAGACAAAAGAATAAACCAAGGACCAATTAAAAACCCTAAAAGGCTTGAGAAGGGGAGGGAGGGGGGGGGGGGGAATTAAACACGATCCCTGATACATTCTTAAAATATCAAGGTTTTAGAATCTTTAACCCACTCCCGATTGGAATATTTTTGTTTTTCTCCCCCCCTTTTCCTAAGAGTTAGTCCTTTTTAAAATAAAAAATAAATAGTTTTACTTTAAAGAAATATTAACATGTGGCACATAATATTACATCCATTTGTTAAGGGCTGTTTAAACATATAAACTTTAACCCCGAAGCTAAATTGATAATAATTATGCATTAACAATTTTTTTCGCAAAATTCATTCAAAACTATGAAGCTAAAAAAATGAAGAAGTTCAAATGTCAACTGTTTTTAAGTTATTTAGAAAATACAAGACATTTCAACACATTTTCCTTTTTTCTTACACACAGCACAAAATGAGATAAAAGGATTAAATTTAAGAAATGTTTCTCTTTCTGTTTCAAGAACATCATAAATTCATATTTAAACCTTTATGTCTTGAGAAAAATACACCTTTCTAAATGTACTGTCTAAAAAGGAGAAAAAAGTCCCAAAATTTCAATTATTCATTTCTTTTATTTTTTATCTGTAAGTCTGTACTTTCCAAATTTATTTGATAAATGACTGGATCGAGTGTGCTTTATTATTCTTCCTCGCTTTATCATGAATTTCATAATGAACGTGCAATAAAGTTAAATAATCTAGATAACCTGTACATTACTGCACGTGTGCTATAAAGTTTTGATTGCGGTTCCCGGATTTTCTCCAAAGAATAGGATATTTCCAAAATATTTTTTCAATTAAATAAAAATAAAATTGAAGACTTTATAACACTGCGAACCAAACAACAGTGTTATGAATAGTTATAATACCTAAATCTTAATCTAAATTCATTGTATGTAGACACTTTTAATTCACTCTTTTCTCTCTTTTTAGATCATCCCTACTTTGTTCCAATCAATGATAGTTCCTCCAAACGCCCCTCTGATTGGTTGAATTTTATACACGTTTCTGGATACAAACTAAAGTTTAAACAATTCTTGAGATCAAGAATCGATCTCGATATCCATAATTATAAAGCTGAAAACTTTAGAATTGGATACCCTTAATCCTGATCGCTTAATCTGAATATCTACTGTGAAAACTTTTAATTTTCTTTTTAATCCGCTCTTGTTGGATTAACTACTACATTAAATAAAGATACGTTTGATTAAAAATACAGATACGATGCTTTATCGATTGGACTAATATCCGATTGAACTAAAGTCAGGAGTTCAGAAGCCAGCTTTTAAAACATTTAAACAAATATAAATTTAATAATGTTAATGTAAACTTATTAAAAAACATATTTTATCACATTTGAAGACAATAGTAATTTTGAACGTTAGTCTCAAACATAAATCCAAAACTTACGTTTGTTAAATCGATCATTAGTCCAATTGATATGACACACAAATGCGGGAAAATTAAAAACCGGGTTTTCTAAAGTTAAATAGCGCATCTCAAAATCACTAGAAATTGATCTAAAGACTAATTTAGTCTTGCGATTAGCAAAAAGAAAGCATCAAGCATTGATCTTGATATTCACCATTCAAAGTTTTTAGCTTAGATATGTTTAATTAGCTTAACGTATGTATGAGCAAGAAACCATAACACCTGCCAGCAAAAAATTTTGAACTTCCCCCTTGTTTAATAACATGTTTTGAATCATAATTCCGATTTTTAAAAAGTTTTCAAACTCCAATATACAAAATTTGCTTTTCTTATAATTGGGCCTAAAAAGAGCTAAAAGGTTACAAAGCTATACCAGTAATACCATACCAGTCTAGAATTGTATTCTTTTTTACGCCAAAAGTGTAAATTTATTCTTTGTGTAGATCGATTTACTGTATATTTTAAATTTTAACTTGCAACAAACAATTTTTATCTCCAAGTTTGACGCACAAATAAACAAATAATATAATTAAAGTTTTTTGCATTTTTGATGTTTATAACAAAAACACTCCCTGTAATATTTGTACTATTATTCTATATCATTGAAAAAGAGTATGGGTGTACTCCTAAGATTGTTACTAACAAATCTTAAATAACTCGGGTTTAAATTGGCGATCCAAATACGGCGATCTTTCCGTGACACCTTACCGTAAAACCTCTGTGAAGAGTTCCAAAGATTGGTGAAGAAGTTCCTCCGCCCCCAAATATACCGCCGGTTGACGGTGGTTTGGCGTTCCTGTCCCAATTCAATTTATCAATCAACGAATCAATCAATCAAACTTTCAAAACTGAGCTCTAACGAGAACAAGATTCAAGAATATTTTGTTACGTAAGATCAAGAAAGGTTGGGAATCCGGAAATAAAATCAGTTAAGATGGAAACTAATTTTTAATTTTTCCGACATTCTTTAGAGTTTTTTAACCCTCTCTATAGCACTAGGGACATGTATTCCCTATCTCAATTCTAATGGAAAATCANAAATAGACCAAATCTGGAAACAGTTTATGGCATTTGCCTTTAAAAATCCTAATATTGAAATATTTGCAAGAGAAAATTTTAAAGATTAATAAATTCCTGTACTTTTTGTTGAATTCTTACATTTTACACATTTCTTGACACAATTTGTGTTAAAATTACATTGATTTTAAAGACATCTTTATTTTTGAGAAGATAATTATATCTATTTGGGTTGGTTTGGTTTATTTGTTTCCACTAAACGTCAAAAGGAAGGTTTTTACCATTTATAATTGACCTTAACCGAGGATTTTGCTCCAAAAATATCAATTCTTAAAATATTTCTGATTATGCTCATGATTCATGAAAATTTCATGCTTTATGATGTTTAAGAAAAAAATAGTTGCAATGAACCCAACTGTTAAGGTAAAACTCTTGTCTTATTATTAGAGAGGTGGCAAGGTTATAAAAATTTAGTATTTATCATTGAATTTTGCTTAAATTTCTACTGAGGGGAAATATTTTTTGGTCTGAATTCCCTACATTTAAATTATATTAACCTGGAGGATGATAAATCAAAATATATTCAAGGGAAATGGCTTCATTCTGATAATATCTCAAGTGGAAGGGGGGGGGGCAGGCTATAAAAGGGGGGAGAGAAAGGACAAAGGAGAGGGGGAGGGACGGGGGGGGGGAGATTACTTTTCAATTTTATTAAGTCATTTTTCATTCAACCCTGAGGACCCAACGTTGGATTAAGAAGATTTTAATGAATAAAAGGGGTAAAATAACAGAAGAAAGGGGGGGGCGGGCTGACCAGGGGGAGGGATCATTAGATGGAGATGTAGAATTGTGATATTCTAAATATAACTTTTTAAAAAAATATATTTTAAGCTGAGGCTTTAGAAAATTATCAGTTTTAGTCTTCATGAGTCAATTTTACAAAGCAAAATAAAATCAAGGCGTTAACTAAAATAATTAAATTATTTACATTCTAGTTAATAATTAAATTATTAATTAATAATTAATTAAATTCTAGGGTCCAGTTCAGATCTGAAGTAAATCAACTAGAAGTTCTTGCTACAAGCTCAGATTTTCTATTCCATATTTCTTTGCAACACAATACCGTGGAACTTAGATATTACAAACAATGAATTCTGCTAGATCAAATAACCTAAGTTTGGCATCAAAGAGTTAACACCATCAGGTTGCAAAGATATAGGAATTATAAAATTTTAAATTATGGTTTATAAATCTTATGGTTAAAGTCATTATAATATTCTATTCTAAAAGAGCATGGAAATGATAGTAGAAAACCTGAATAAATAAAGTGCATCAAAGTTCCGGAAAAGTTAATAAAAGTTTATATTACTTGAAACTCAGTAAACTAAGTTAAATCTTGACAATCTAAACCAGACTCTTCATAATTAGATTATTAATCAGATTCACTAGTGGAAAGATGACGTTTGCAATTCGTAAAGTACTGAGTTTTTGCCACAAACTCAATTTTTTGAGTCCCTATATCTTTGCAACCTGATTTTTCAAACGAAGACTTTAACCTAACAGAATTCATAGTTTGAAATTTCTACAAAGGTGAATGGATTAAAAAATTAGAGTTTGTGGCAAAAAATTATGCTTTTCTTCAATACAGTTTTAGAAAGTAGATTTGTTTATCAATTGATCAATTGATTGATTGATTTGGAACTTTCCTGCGTTCAAGTGACATGTCTTTCTGACTTTATTCCTTATCATACTTCACTGCAACATTGGGGGTTTCTTCTTATCAAAACATTTTACAATTTCAATTTCATTCATTAGTCAAGTTGGAGATAATCCGCGAGATTGGCGTGAAATCCAGCCTTATTCTGACAGAATGGAATAGGTATATTCAGGATCATATTTTTTATTCATATCGAGATTTTTCTACATTTTCACTTTTTCTTATTTCACTGAAGTTTTCACTGTATATTCTTCACTATAGAAAAGATTAAGTAGCAGAAAAAATTATCTAGGAATTTAAGGGTTTAATTAAAAAATATTTAGCTTTCGAAAAATATTATGTCATTTCAGCTGTTTTTGCCCTGTACTGTAAATTATTGTATTACTAATTTTATATATTTAGATATGTAAAATTGATTTTTATTTTTTAATGTTCACCACAAAACAAATACCGATGCCAACATCTGTTTTGGAGTGCTTTTTTCTACTACAATTTCATATTTTTATGGAATCTACATTTATAAGTTCAATGAATATATTCTTGAAATTGTTTCGGATAATTATAATTATGATATTTTAAGTCTTACAAAAAGATTATAGAATTCATGTCCGGAAAACAAAAAAACTGTTTGGATCAAAAAGTTGCCAGAAAACAGTAGATTTTCCCTACAATAACTCCGAAATTGCATCTAGCTATGACATTTTTCGTTCGTCTTTGGTTTTGAACTTACTACAACTATAACCTACTTATACTTTTTCTGTAGTTCTGAGATGGAATTTAAAGAATTTGAGCCGCGGTTTAAATCAGCCAAAACCCGGTTTAAATTCAGCGCCGGCTTGAATCTTGAAACATTTGATACAATTTTAAGTGGAACCAACCATATTTAAACCGCGGCTTAAATTTAAACCGCCGCTCAAATTCTTTAAATTCGGCCACTGGACTTACATTTTAGAACATTTCTAATTGAGAAATCGCACATTTTTGGTTAACTATGATGATTACTTATCTAGTTCGACTAGCCTTAGAGGGCGCTTCGCGCCCATCTTCTAAATTAATTGTGAACATGTTCTCTTTGTGTACATCGTAAAACAAAACAAAAATAATTCGCGGATTTTCACAAAAAATTTCGTGGATTTTCAAAATTTTCAAAAATTTAATGAAGATCGAATTTTGATGGAGACAAATATTTGAAATGTTGATCATTCATAAACCTTCCCTGTGGTCACGTGATGTCCCACAAAAAATTTGGGCCCGATCGGTTCAGCTGTTTTGACGTTTATTGGATACAAACAGACAGACAAACAAACAAACACCCAGACAGACAAGCCAAATTTATATATAGATGTAGAGGTTAAGAATATGTAATATAGAATGGTCGGATAAATTCATTGCAGCTGAAACTGTTAAATAAAATAATAAATATAGAAAAAAAGAGAACCTTTCCCCCCAAAAAAGGGGAAACGTGGTTTATTGAAGATATAAATACTTTTTTTAAATTGAATTTTATTGTTCTTTTCAAAGGAATAATGTCTTTACCACAAACTCAAACTTTCTAACGGCTATATCTATGTAACCTGACTGTGCAAACCTTTGTAATTTAAAACTAACAGAACTCATCGTTTGAAATATCTAAAGTTTACGATCTTGGGTAGTCAGAGTTTGTGGCAAAGGCTCAATTCCTTTTACTATGAAACTAAACATTTGCTTTAAACTCTTTGTTTTAAATGCTTTTGAAACCGACAAAATATTGTCTTTTTTCAAATATTTAAATATGCGAGTTTGAGGCAAGTGTTCAGTATTCCCTTGCCGATCAAAAATTATCTTATTCGTATTTTTGAACTTTTCTAAAATTCTACCTTTTCTTATACTCATGAATTCAACTTTACCGCTTATGAGAGCTTTTTAAGGGAATTATCGACTGAGATATTTCCAACAACGCATTATTTATATTTACAATTCTTATCTATTGTTCTGCAGAAGTTATATATAAATGCATACAAAGGGAAAATAATATGAATAGAAATATCTGCAGGAGATACTGAGAACTAGAAATACACTAGAATAATGTAGACGTAGGATTAGGCAATTAACATTATAGAATAAAGAAATTGAGTCTGAGACACAAACTCTGATTTTCTAATACCTATATCTTTGCTACCAAACATCGTTGCACTTTGATAATTCAAACTTTAAATTCTGCTGTAATTAAATAATCCAAGTTTGAAATATTTAAGTTTTACACAATTTAGTTGCAAAGATTTAATGAATTAGAAATTTGAATTTCTTTCAATATTTATTTATTTGAAACAGTGTCTTGCTAGAAAATTATCTTTAGGTATTTTTAATATTTTAAGAAACGTCACATAAATTTCAGATATTTCACATATTTGAATTTGTTGGGTCAAAAGCTTTTTAAAAATGTTTAATTTTCACATTTTTAGTGAAGAGCTAAAGTGATTAGCTTTCAGCCTATACCCCCTTTCATTTTTCCTTTACTGTCCCTTTAAATTGGAAATCCGTCAATTTTTTAAACTGTTTATGTTTGTTGGAACTGAGCGAAATACAAGTCAAAACATCTTTATCATTTTTACTGAACATATCTATCTTAAAAGTGTAAATGTGGAAGAAAGAGGGGCGTTCTTGAATGTATGTGTCTGTTCTTCTCTATCCTATTTAGGGTTCCATGTCCTTCAAGTGAAAATCCTCCCTATAGATTAGAGACCAGTAAGCTGTCCAAACAAACAAATTACACACTGGATAAGAACAGGGTGCCAATATAATGGGGAAATTACACTATTCCCCGTGAAAAGGGGGAAATTACATCCCCCTCCTTCCTCCCCCACTGTGTATTGGAACTAAACACTAGAACTAGATTAAAAGGTCCAGTGGTTAATTAAATCAAGCATGTCGTTTAACTCTTCAGTAATGAGGTTTAATTACCAATTAGTATCAATTGGTCGGTTAAATAGATTTATTGGGTTGATTAAGGTAAAAAGGTAAAACTTAAAACTTGCCACAAACACGATTTTTTTAATTTTAACATCTAATTAAACCCTGATATATTCCAAACCTTGATTTCCATCAAATCAAAGTAGAGTTTATGGCAAGCAATCAGTTAATTTGAAGTAAGATAAAAACATGATTAACGTTTCGACGAAATTATAAATTTAAAATCTTAAAATTACATTAAGTGTGACTGTTTAAGGCTTTAAAGAGCATATGTTTGACTTAAAGCTTATATTCGGTCAATATTAAGCACTTCTTTAGTAGTAGATGATGTTTGTTTTGTATAGATTGCTCTAGAGATGTTTACTTCTCAATATATTCATAGTTTTTCATTTAGATATATACTTAAATATTTAGATACTTAGATATTTAGATACTTAGATATTTAGATACTTTGATATTTAGATACTTAGATATTTAGATACTTAGATATTTAGATACTTGGATATTTAGATAATCAGATATTTAGATACTTAGATATTTAGATAATTCGATATTTAAATACTTATTTATTAAAATACTTAGATATTTAGACACTGAGGTATTTAGAAACTTAGATATATAAATATTTTGATACTTAGATATGATTTATAAATTAGATTTAGATACTTTTAAATATTCAGAGCTGAACTTTAGAATTGTGGATATCGAGATCAAAGCTTGATCTTCTCTTTTTGTCAATCTCAAGATTAATTTAATCAATTAAGTTTGTATTCACAAAAGTGTATAAAACTCAACCAAATCGAGGGGCGTTGGGAGAAACCGGATAGGCCAATCAAAGAAGCCGGGAAATTAGAAATTTTGCATACATTTTATGAGAGAAATCTCATTGGTTGGAATTCAGCAGGGAGAGAAAAAGAGCAGAGTAAGCAATCTGTTTTAAAAATATCCAATTATAAAGTTCGCAGCTCAGATAAATTAGATAACTTAGATACGTTAGATACTAACTGAAATGCTAATGAAAAGTCTAAAGGGCTCTCTACGAGAGTGTATCTAGTATCGTGTAAGAGATAGCAACCTTTACCCTTTAAGTATGTAATATATTTCAAACTCTGAGCAGAGAACAAGAAAATGAACAAATTAACTTTTCTGCCAGTGAATCAGAGAAAGAAAAGAATTCTATGCCAGGAAAAGCAAAATAACACCAACTCTGTTGCTAATATTATAATCTTGCAAGATTTAGGAATTACAATTATTATTATTTAGTGTTGCGATTTTGTGGCCAGTTATGCAGCATTTGCGTCATAGATTACACTCTAAATATTTTTTGGTTCCTTTGAATTCCCCTTAAAAACGTAAAATTAAATAAGTAAATTGACTTTTGAGACTCTAATCAAGATTTATTGGCAAGTTTTGCTGCATTTTTTCATGCATTATGCTAGCTATTAATGTTTGTTTGGTCACTTCCTTTAAATTTCCCTTAAAAACGTAAAATGAAAAAAATAAATTGATATTTGAGCTACTGGTCAGTTGCTTCATAACAACAACAAATGCACAAAAAATTGCTTAAATGTAGTCTCCCTATTTCACAGTTTTATGGTTTTCACTTTATTTGTTTTTTTTCGTATGGAAAAGACATATTTTGGAGGGAAAAGTCAAAATATTTAAATTTCATACAGTTCTGGATATCATTTAAAATTTAAAAAAAAGTCTGAAACGGACGGTTAGCGTAATTTTAAGTGACCCTCCATGCAAGGCAATGCTCGAATTACAACCTCAATCTGATCAAAAATGTAAAAGATAAAGCGTCATTTTTATAACTTATAAACTGTTTATTTCTGTGAGTTTCTCTATTGCTTCTAAAAGCAAGAAGTAGTTCCGAAGTACTTCTTTTGAAGAGAATCCAAAATGGGAAAAAAATATTTTAAAGAAACACAAACATTGATTTATAATTAATAATTGATCAGACAAAGTTTTATCGTGTACCGTTGTAAATCAGGTTATGGCATCTTTGAATAGAGGGTCACTCGAAATAACGGTTACGGTCCCATTAAATAACCCCAATTCAATGATCAAACTTGACAATCTTTCTAAAAGCTTTGGAGACTTTTTGCTTGAATTTCCAGTATTTATGTATCTAGAACCTAGATCTATCAAATGTTGGAAATTGCATTTTCTCTTCTTTCTTCAGATTAAAAAATATTTTCAAAAAGTTATTAATTTTGAAAAGTCGTCTTTCGTCTGTCTGTCTGTAACTTTGTATTTTAAAAGAACGCACCCTCCCCCCCCCC